GTTGCCGCGGGGACGACGACGTCGCACGGGGCGATGGCGCCCACGCGGGCGGGGGCCTGCACACGGTGCTTGTCCAGCACGTCCGTAATAACGGAGATCTCCTCGTTCGTGAAGACGAGGGCGGTGTTGCCGCACAGCAGCTTCCGCTCGATGCATTTGTTGTAGAACAACTTGTCGGACTCTGTCGCCTTCTTCTCCTCCGCGCGCTTCTCCACGATCTTCTTCTGGAGTGTCTTCTTGCCCATCACAAGCTCACCCAACCCACGAAGGTCGCGGCGAACATCGTGCACCTGCTGCGAGCGGACATTGTCCATCTGGCAGAAGAGAATGCGGCTGTACTTGGTGAGGCAGCCATTCAGGCGCTCCTCGTAGTCCCGCTTGGCCTCGGAGACGGACGGCATAGCTGTTTGTCACAATGAAGCGTACAGCTTTTTCACAATTTGTGGCGGCATTGGTGAGGGCAAATGGAGAGAAAGAGAAAGATAGGGAGAAGCACAAATGCTCAAAACACAGTCCAACATAAAGCGCCCCCACAGGCACACACACACACGCCTAGTAAGCCACGTAGGTATTTGCAGCAATAGAGAGAGAGAGAGAGAGAGAGAGAGTTGCCCACGTAAAGGCAAAGAGGACGGAAGGAAGGAGGGGGCGGGAGAGCGTGCGTGTGGAGAGGGTTTAAACGATGGACAATGGAATCCTCGCCTCTCCACATTTTCGCCAGGTCTCAAGGCAGTGTGTGAGGGAGGAAGGAGGTCAGAAGCGCGGTACACACCGAATATACAAGACCTCAGCGAAGCCAATGATGTAATGCGCGGCAACCTTTGCGCTAGCGACGTGTGGCTAGCAGGCCCGCAATGAAGATCCACGCAGGTGTTCGCATTTTTGAGTGGATTCGCCACCCCCATTTCCGTGCACTGCCCCCCGCATGAGCCTGAACGGCGGGCAGCACTGCGTGGAAAAAGAAGTCCCCGTCCTTGCTTCGCATGGTCGTGACTCAATGCTAATGCGCCGCTGTCCACAGGCGGCGAGGATTGCGTGGAGCAATGGACTCTGCCAGAGGCGCTCCAACGTGGACCTCCCGTACCGCAAGGTGACGAGACCAGTCACACTGCATAGGCTGCAATGTATACATTTATATTAGTAACTACAAAAATAACTTTCACACACATGAGCAGAACACGTAGGCGACAAACTCAACACGTACCGTAATCGGATTCGATAAAACGCTGCTTCAAACTAATCATACTGTTATACCCACAGTCGTGAAGGAGTTGCACCTTCTTGACCTGGTCGATTTTCCGCACTCTGTTCCATTTCTTCTTCACCAGTAGACAGACGCCATCCTTGGAATTGCGCACGTATTCGCCCCTATTCCGCAGCGTCAAATACCCCACAATGTCAAATGGGCATGGCGCATCACCCGCACCCAGGCGGCAGCGGCGCACAGGCAGAATCAAGTTTAATGGCAACTTATCCTTTGGATGGGAATTGGGACCCACCCACTTATTTGTTTCAAGCTCCCCATCGACATTCAACATGCCAAGATGCATGTGAGCAAACGGTGCTCTGGGGTTGAAGCATTGCAGTGGGTCGCGCGTATCATTCAGTTTGCGAAGCTGAAGCGTATACAGCAAACGGCGATCGGAGTCAAACTTGGCAATGTCAGGGTTAAACCGGCGGATGCACGCACCCGCCACCCAGAGAGGCAAGAGGAAGCGGTGAATAGCCACGTTGAACTCCTCCCGTGTGCATTCCAGGGACCCCGGCCTGCAAGGCGCTGTGGAGTTTGGTAGGAGAACGAAAAAGTCAAAGTCGTCATCGGCGTCCACAATGGCGCCTGCTCTTCCCACGCCAATAAGACTGCCTTCATCTAGCCACCATGGGATGTTGTTATACTTTGCCTTGAATACCCTGGTGAAAAACGCAAGGAACTCCACAAATTTAGGGTTATCCCTCTCCACAGGCTCCACCGGGCACAGGGTTTTGTTGAACACTCGCCGCACGCTGAGGTCAACCATGGCATTGGCATCGGCCAACAGGCAGGCGCGCGAAGCACCAACGCGGGAGAAGAGACCGGAGGAAGCCGCAGCGCAGGTGGCGTTCCCCTGCCTAAGTGGGAACTTCTCTTCAACAACGCCACTGCGACGCACCACGGGGTCCGGGGGAGGGAGCTGCTCCTGAAGGCCCCCGCTGTGGTCGACAGCCATGAAGAGGTAAAGAAGTGAGACGCACGTGACAAACACAACAACCCTCCTCATGGGGCACAACCTCCCTCTGCGCAGCCGCGGCATAGAAGCAACTTCCTACTTGTCGCTAGGGCGCCTTTGTGTGCTTGTGGCCCCTCCTCCTTCCTTCGCAGGAGGAAAGAAAAGGTGTAAAAGCAAAGAACAGGAGCAGCCTTTGAGAAAGTCACATACTCCAGGTAAACCGCCACAGAGAGTCACGCTTCACCATTTGCCCTCATTTGTTTGCCGCCCGTCCCTAAACAAAAAAAACACACACACATACAAAAAAAAACTTCACAACAACTCATCTCTCAACTGAAAACGACATGTAACCTGGCGATGGTGGCGGCTGCGTCTGCGTCTGCGTCTGCTGTGGGTGTGGCTGATAGTAAGCGTACTGCCAGTACGAAGATGGAACAGTGCTGCCTCCCCACGGGTACGCACCTGGAGAGGTTGCAGCCGCTGCGGAACCACCACTTGCAGCCTGCGGCGGCGGTAGAGGAGGGGTCGGCGACAGTGGATCATAATAAATGTGGTTATTGGCAGAAGCGGGCTGGTACGGCTGCTGCAGCTGATGTTGGTGGTGCTGCTGAGATTGACGCGGTTGCGGCTGTGTCTGAAGCTGTCTCCTGTGTTCCTCCATAACGCGGCTCTGCTTTGCCTCCATTTCGACCAGCAAGCGTAGCTCCTCCTCCCGCTTTGCGTCCTCCAGCCGCCGCAACCGGTGGGCCTCCTCCTCTCGGTGACGCATGCGCCCTTCCAACGCGGATGTCTCCACCGTCAGGGCTTTGAGTAGCGCATCTCTTTGCCGCGTCTGCTGCTCCGCGTCACGCCTAATCTTCTCCGCCTCCGCCTCCTTCCGCCGCTGCTCAAGGCGCCGTCGCAAGATTTCCTCCTCAGCACGCACGTGTTCGTAAAGCTCCTCGCGTTCCTCTTCCGCCCGCCTCTTCGCCGCTTCCTTCTCCAGCGTCCGTGCCTCCTCATAGCGCTGAAGTCGGCGCCGCAGCAGGGCTTCCTCAGCCTCCACGTGTTCGTAAAGCTCTTCACGATGCTCGCGCTCCAGTTTTTCCTTTTCCTCCTCCGCCTTTTTTCGCTGCGCCTCCCTCTCTTCCAGGCGCCGGCGGAGTAACTGCTCCTCAGCCTCAATATGCTCCAGCAGCACACGGCGCTCTTCCTCGCGCCGCATCCGCGCCTGCTCATACTGCGACAAGCGCTGCTGCAAGGAGCCCTCTTGCTCCACCAGCCCTCTGTACCTGCGTTCCAGCTCGGCCGCGCGCTGCTGCTCCTTCTCCGCCTCACTCCGCCGCCTGTTATCCTCAATTTGGCGTCGCAACTGCTCCTCCTGGCTGCGTAGCATATTTATCCGATCCTCCTGTGCCTGCAGACGACGCTCCTGTTCCTGCTCGATCATGGCAATGGCTTTTTGCCGCAGGGATGCGTCATCGGTGGCGGTGCCCACCGCACCCTTCGTCGCGGCATTGCCCTGCTGCGCAAGCTCCTCCTCCAAGGCGCGCTTCGCCGCGTCGATGGCAGCGGCCTTCGCCTGCCTCCCCTTTTCCAGACGAAGCGCCGCCTCCAGCCACTCCGGCGTGGTCGCGTCTACCCAGTCTAGAAAACTTTTGTACGCCACCGTCACCGCCGCACGCTCTTCGGACTCTTCCGCCTCCAATGCGGCTAGCGACGCGCGGACGTCCAGTGGGAGTTCGGCGTCCACCAGCGCCTGCCGCGACCTCCTACACTCGTCTAGCGCCTCTGCTCGCTCCTTTTCAATGCTTTTGCGTCTGCAGTACTCTTGAAAGATGAGCCTCACGTAGCTGTGCTCGAAGCGCGCAGCACGCCTGGCGCCGGCAACAAAGTTGAGAGTGCCGTCATTGACAAGCTCCAAGTCCGCGTTGAGCGACGGCAGGGCAATGTCCTCTAGCAGATGCTGCAGCACGTTGGCACTAGCCGCGTTTCGCACGGGTGCTTCGTTACTTCTGGGCGAGAGAACCGCTTCCCCGCGCAGTAATGATAATAGGGGCCCAAGTTCGTCTTGCAGCGACTCGCACAGCTCTGATCGCTTAACGTGCAGCGTGAAGGGAACCAAAAAGGACGACGCCATCGCAGAGAGCGTGTTGTGTGTCGTCGCAACGAAAACTGCCACCTACAAGAATGTAGTTGGCCAATATATATACATATATATATATATATAAATAAACCTATACGTACGAATGTGCCGGTCCCGTATTTGATTCTAGGAAATGGGTAGTTCCAACTCCTTTTCGGTCCTCGCTTTTTCCTATTATTTTCTATTGCAAAAGAGGGCGGCAACAGGCACAGAACCGTGAGAAGCAAAAAAAAAAACTGCTGTTTGTCGGCATCGTGTGTGGACGCCACATCGCGGGGAGAAGCACGGCGAAGACACACAAGCGCTGTTCGATAGACATGGGGCGAACACCACCGCGCCCCAGAAGTAAATTGCTACTCACTAAAAAGGCAGCTGAGTGACACAGCTGACAAACATCAAACAAAGAAGAAAACAAAACGGGGAAGGATCAGATACAAGGCAATAAAGAGACCCGTGACCTGTCGAAGGCTCTGCTGCTTGAAGCTTATAAACTCCTCAAGTCAAATACTTACCCGCAACTGGCTCTGTAGAGGAATCCAAAAAACGTACAGCGCCTTCCTCCTAGGTCCAGGGATAGACACTTGGGCCTTCTGGCGCACCTCGTGAAAATCCCGGCTGCTGCTGCTGCTGCTGCTGCTGCTGCTGCTGCCGCTGCGTTGGATTTGCTTGGAACTGCCACCCGAAGGGGGTTGGCGGCTCAGTCCGCGCATTGTAGGGAGAATAGGCAGAATGGGGGCAATTTCCCCCGCCTGGCGCGGCAGCGTAAAAACCAGTCGATGAAATTCGTTGCTGTTGCTGCGGCAGCTGTTCGCTGTACTCGCGGAATTCACACGGTAAATAACAGCGAACGGCTTCCCCCCCAATCGACACAAAATGCTGTGGATGCTGTGGGCTTTCTTGCGGCGGTGTCATCTGCGTCCAGCCTAAAGGCGTGGGCATCGCGCCGGGTTGCCTCGGCGGATACTGCAGATACTGCGGATACTGCGGCTGCCGTGCAGCTGCCTGATGCAAAGCCTCTTGCCGTCTGTACCTTGCCTGCTGTATGGCGCGCTGACGCTCCTCCTCCTCCTCGATCCGCAGGGCAGACAAGAAGTCTGAGCATTCCTGCAACACCCTTAGCTTTTGCTCCCGCGCCACCTTCTCTAAAGTAAAGCGCTCGAATACACACTTGGTGCTCATTACATATTCCCAAGTTCGAGCCTCGGCGGCACGCTTCTTTGCGTCGGCGTACATGTCTTCAATGTGGCGGCGCGCGACGCGTTCCTCCTCCACGACGTCCAGGTAATCTCTTTGGAACGCCTGAAAGACGTCCTCCGCGGTAAAAAACGCTTTCAAGTCGGCCCGCTTCCTGGCGACGTACCGAAGGGCCTCCTGCTCACACTCGTGACTTGCGGTCGCGCTCTTTTGTAGCGCGGCAGCCTTTGTCTTCTCCAGAAGACTCCTGGTGCTTTTGAGCACGGACTCGGCGCCACGGATCTCCTCCCGTACGTGCAACAGGACCGCCGCGTCCAGAGCGCTTGGGCCAAGTTTCACCCTCAGCGGCACGCCTTCAACCAACATCGCCTCTTACTTCAAGCTGCACAGTCCCACCCACCGGGGCAGGGCACGAGGCGGCAAAACAGGAAGGGAGAAACGAGTGTGAAGACACAGAAGAAGAAGAACAACAAAAACAAGACAGAAACGTCAAGAGAAAGAAACTACAAGGTAGAAACTGACTCTCCCTCACCCTCCTCCTTGACTTTCTTTTGACTTCCTCTTCGTGCCCCCGGCTCCCCCCACCCTTGTTGCCTTGCGGCGAGTCGACAACGACCGAGGCAGCGAGGAGGAGGAGGAAATCTGCAGGTGCGCCGTACAGCGGCTCCCGTCCTCCCCGCCCGTGGCGGCCTCGCAACGACGCACGCAGCAAAGGTTGACTAAAACAGTTTCTTGGGTGAATCTTTTGTGATGTCGACATCCGCGACATCCGTCGATGTATCAAAAGCCACCTCCACCTTGCGGTACCACATCCGCATGCGGCACTCCACGTAACGGTCATACAGTGTCGCTCCCCAGCCGTTGAACCGTGCAATTGTCAGGGTCACAAAGGGGGCAAAAACAAAGGGCACGAGGCACCGCGACGCCGTGTGCATCCCCAACACAGCCGGGAAGAGACGCGGGACGAAGGGGTGACGCCAGGCAACATCCCCCATCCACTTCGGGAACTTCACCGGAGCAAGCGGCAGCATGGAAAGAAGCAGCGCCCCCCCAGTGATGCCGTACGCCCTGGTCTGCATCGCGTAGACGCGGCGCGTGACGCCCTCAAGATTATCAAAGTACTTGTTTTCATGGTACTCAATCCCGCGCTTTGTCGCACCACGACGACGACGGTACTCTTGACTTTTACGTAGTTCGTACAGCATCCGATGCTTGTGAATGCGGTACTCAAGGTAGGAATTGACGTAGACGCCCAAGATGGCAGAATAGGTGGCAGAAAAAAGTGCGCGATGCCGAGCGAGCCACCGCGGGGTAATGCCACGCACACGCCGCGGATAGTGACGAAACATGGCGTAGGCAAAGGTTGCGGTAAAGTAAACAAAAAACTCCGGAAGCGTGCGCGTGACCACGCGGGTTAACGCCTCTGTGTACTCGACATCGCTGCGGTCCTCGTTGTAGCCTCCCGCGAGTGACATGACACGCACAGAAAAACGCCACGAGACAAAGTCCGGGGTGTCCACGTAGACCTTATTCACGTGGTTTAAGATGTCCGACTTGTACTGCAGCTGGGCCACGGCGTCGGAGAGGACGTCGTCGCAGAAAATGTAGGACAAAAGCCGCAGCACCGACCGTTGAGGAAAGTACGACTTCGACAAGATCATGTGACGATAGGTCTCGCTAAAGTTAAACATGTTCATCCGGTATTGCTCCGGAATCCCGCAGCTGCCAATGAGTTCGGCGAGGCTTGCCCCCTCCTCCACGGTCTTGTAGCGCGACAGCAGCATGCAAATCTTGATGAAGTCGCGTATAACAACCTCGCTAACGCAGTCGTAGACCATGCCGCGCGCGAGAAACAAGGCCGCGCGCGGGGACGGCAGCATCTTCACAATGGCATCGGCCAGGTGATGACGATCGACGACCTCATAAACGCGCTCGTCGTACATGCCGAAGAGAAGCAGGAGATCGAGGCGACCATTCTTGGCCAGCGCCTCGTAGTAGTTTGCCAGGAGCCCCATGAACGAGGGAGCCCTCTTCTACACTTACGCACACACACACACAAGGACGCTGCGCGCTTGCAATGCTAGCTCGTGCGCGCCCGAGAACAGGGAAAGAGAAAGAGAAACAGTTCCACAGACAGCAGAATATATATATAATCACAGGCCTGCAGCAAACGGCGCGCGGTCCGCAGTGAAAATTGCTGTGCGCAAACCCTCATCGTACAAATAAGCGCATTTAGATGGGAACAACACCAAGAACGGTAATAGACTTCCCATTACATGTCTGCGCATGTGTGTGTCTCCTCAAAAGTTAAATGCAAACCCCTTTTCCCCGGCGTCCAGCAGCGGCAGCGCGACACAGCCTTGCCGCTTCTCCCGACGCTGCTCCACCTCCTTTGCAAGATCGCTCTCTACGCGTCGCATCAACTCGGGGAATGCCACACGCATCGCAGCAGCAAACTCTTCTGCGAAATGGGCACGCCGACTCCGCACCACGTCACTCGTGACCTCCCCCGCATCTTCGTCAATGCCACTGATCGATGACTTCATGGCAACGAGAAACTTCATGACGCTCGACAGGTTGCTTTCCGAGACGTAGTTCTGCGTGATTGCAACAGAGTCTTCCAAGTTGATCACAAAGTGCCACCACCCACAGGGAATGAACATGATATCGCCAGGCTCGCATATGCACTCGTACCCAACGCCTCGCCACCGCTCCACGCTCGCATCGTAGTAGTTTAGCAGCCACTCCGTGAGTGAAACGGGGGTGGTGACTTCAGACATGTCAGCTGTGGGGAAGACGCCAGCCGGGATGCAGCCGGGCGGAAACAAAATCCATCGCTTCCGCCCCGTTAGGTTGGCGTTCCAGGCGTTTGTGTAGTTTGGGTCAACGTGAAAACTGCTGCCACCGCGACGTGGGCCCGCGATGATCCAGCGGTACTTTGGACGCGCCTCCCCCAGCACCTTGAAAAAGTCATCGCAGGCAAAATGCTCGGGCACGGCGTAGAGCGACTCAAGGGCCATGGGCGTTCCAAACTCCGCGTCAAACATATAAATGGGACGCTCGTCGGACTGTTCCTGCGCGTAACGCACGTAGTCAGAGACCGTCATGGTAGTATGCTCGCAGCGCATGGGGACGTCGGTGGCAACGCCCGGACGAAATAATGCATCCTTCTTTTCCGCCAAATTCGCAAACTTTCCCTGCAGAATCTTAAAGAAGGGCCAGCGCGTGGCCACATCCGTGAGAATGACTGGTAAGTTCGGTTTTTCGAATCGCTCGCGAAACTCCTTCGGGGACAGACCGCTCAGTCGCGGCACATCCTTCAACAGGGAGCGAAACCTCGCCACTGTCCCTGACGCATGTACCTCACTCTTTCGCGCTGCACCCTCCACAGCGGGTAAAAGATGATAATGACATGGAAGAATTGTGCACATCCAGGCCTGAAACAACTGATCGCTAAAAAAGGGACGACTTACAGCCACCGGAAAATGTTTAAACCGGACCGCATCGGCAGCGGAGTAGCCATGCTCCGTGCGATGTCGTTTGTTGGGGGCAGAGGTTGACGCCTCTGCCGTCTCTAGGAGAAAAGCTCGCACAGCCGTCTCTTTCCAGCTCCCACGAAAACGCAGGTAGTTGGCGGACACAAGGCTGTGCGCCTGCTTAAACGCGTCAGAGGCGTGAATAAAACAGTACCAACCTGTGCAGGTGATCGACAGACGGCAGAGATCGTCCACCGAGAGAAAGGACAAGAGGTCAAGCAGCAGCTCCACAAACGCCTCTTCGCTGGGTCTGTGCACAAGCACCGATTTACTCATCCGGCCCTTGGCGGCGAACTGAAGCGGTGAAAGGGTGCCAAACCTTGGCGCGGACAACTCCTCCGCCTTCCTCGCATTTCCTCTTGGGTAAATACCAAGCGGATGCGGCCTAAACCAGGTCTGCGCCATCAACACTATTCGCACTGAAAGACAGGGAGAAAGGAGTAGCGTACGGTAGTTATTCCACAGCAGGTACAGGCACATATCAATCCGGTACCCGTAGCCGAAGTGAGCAGCAGTGCAGGTGAAGATGAGAGGGCCGAATAGTGTTACTTTACTTCTTTTTTATTTTTTTCCCCTTTTTCCCCCTTTTTTTCTTCCTTTTTCCTTAACCTCGGCAGAGAAGTTTTATTCGTTTTTTTTTAAATATGTTTCCCTTTCTCGCGTGCGTACAGGGGCTTGATTTTGTTTTCGTCCAACAACGCAGCAAACGCCCAGCAAAGAGGAGAAAAACAGCTGTGCTGCATTCTGCGTTCCGTCACGCTAACTCCCGTTGGCGCAATCCGCTGGCTCGTTCTCCCGCTCTCTCTGTCTCTCGCTTCCTCGGCCCAGGCTCACTGCTACCTTTACCTGCGCAGGGCGCTTAAATCCGCTCCGCCACTTCAATATTAAGTATATCCAGGATTTTCTTCACCGTGATGCGGGTGAGCTCGACGAGGCAAAGACGGCTGTTCTGCAGGGGATCCCCAATAACCTTGCAGTTCTGGAAGAAGTCCGAGAAGTGTGAGACCAATTCATACGCGAAGTCGGTAAGGTGGTGTGGAAAGAGGTCCTCCACTGTCTTCAGCACAACAGACTCCATGCGGAAGGCGCAAAGCACGAGTTTCTTTTCCTGTGGGGTGTCAATTACGACCTCCGCCTGCAGAAATTCCTCTTCACTCACGCCTGCCTTGCGTTTAATGGAGCATAAGCGGGCGTACTGGTATAAAAGGAAGACGGCGGTGTTACCTGACATGTCAAGCATCTTGTCGTAGCTGAACGCGTAATCATTGACGCGGGTCTGCTTCAAATCAAAATATTTCAAGGCACCAATGCCGATAATCTTAGACAGGGTTTCCATTTCCTCCCTGGTGTGCCCCTGACTACGTTCACCGCCCTCACGCTCCTCCAAAATGGCGAGGGAGCGCTCCACCGCCTCGTCAAGTAAATCCTTTAGCTTTGCCGTCTCTCCACTGCGAGTCTTGATCTTTTTCCCGTCAGTGCCGGTGACGAGGCCAAAGCCGGCATGGTCCCACGTGGCATCGCCCATCCAACCCATGTCCTTCGCCAGCTGAGCACACATGCGGAAGTGCTCGTATTGCCCAACGTCTGTACAGTACACTACACGATCCATTTTTTCCATCACAAAACGGTGATACATGGAGGTCACATCAGTCGTATCATATGTGAAACCCCCATCACTCTTCTGAAGGATGAGTGGAAAAGTGAAGCGCGGGACAGCAATCATTTCCCCATCAATGAGGCCTGCAGACTCAAACACCTCGCGAAAAAGTGGTGACAGCTGCTTCTTATAAAAGGACTGAAGTTGTGGTACGAGCTTGTCAACGTCTGTGCGAGCATCAAACTTTGCCAGAGGCTTAGCCTCTTTCTTGGAAAGCGTCACCGTTTCGTTACCGTCCTCACCCTTCAAGACACCCGTCTCCTTCATTGCAGTGAGTATGTTCGGGTGAAACTCCGTCGTGCCATCACGCCGAAGCTTAATAAGATGTGGCACGACCAGCTTGGCCATGTCCTTCGCCTCCAAGGAACTGATCAACTTCTTCTCCTTGCTGACGACAAGCTTTGCGCCGCTGCTTTCCTCCAGCTGTCCAGCCTCCTCCAGCAGACTTAAAACCTTCGGAATGAGAGGATTGTAGAAACTCTCCCCACGCTCTTCAATGTGAGAGCCAAGACGCTCGTAAATGAGGTTAAATTCCCTCCGAGAAAGATCACAGATAATTTTCCACGCCTGAATAGACTCTTCTTCTAATGCCTGTAGCTTAACCACCTGCAGCCGTGCCTGTTCCTTGAACTCAGGGTCCTCGTCAAAGCATTTTTTGGCTTCACGGTAGAACTTGGTCAGGTCTGTGATGTCCGGCATCTCGGTAAGGAAGTTCGGGTGTTGGAGCTTTAAGTACAAGATAAGCATCCCAAATGCCGTACCCCAATCCCCCACGTGATTGATGCGGTGGACCTCAAAGTCGCAGAACTCAAAAAGACGAGAAATGGTTTCCCCAATAATGGTAGAGCGGAGATGACCTACATGCATCTCTTTCGCAATGTTGGGTGATGAGAAATCCACAAGTACCTTTTGCCTAGGGAGTTGTGGGGGCTGAATGCCCATTTTTAGCACACGCGGCACCATGGCAGCCGCCCATTCCCGTTTGATGGAGATATTAATGAACCCTTGTGGCGTCGGCTCAAAGCTGTCGATAAGTTCATTTTCCTCCAGGTTCTTCTTTAACTCCTCACCCACGAGGGCAGGACTCATCTTTATTGGAGGCGTTGCCTTGGAGAGAAGCTTGGCCAGTCCCATGGCGTTATTGCACTGGTACTCAGTGACCTTCCCGAGTGTGATGAGCACCTCCGGTGGGCTAACGGAGGGAAATGCCTTTTCTATGGCATGACGCAGAATATCCTTCAGCGCAAGCTCGGCATTGGCGCCTGTGCATAACCGTGCCATTGCGTTCCCTTCGCTGCTTATGTGAGGCGTAATATGAAGCTGCCTGCGGTGGCGGGGGTGGAGTGGAAGGTCAACGGCACGAAATCGCCGTGCAGAGGGGCAGAGTGCGGGGGAAAAAGCAAAGCAGGAGAGCACATAACCCAAGAAGCAAGCAACACTCCCCAACGGGTGTGTGTGGTGGGGGGGAGTAGACAGGTCGGCAGTCAGGAACTTGGTCGACAGGTCACGCGAGCAGCGAAGCGAAGATGAACATAGAAAAAAACATCAAGAATAGCGACAAGAGCAGCGAAAACAAATAGCAATAGTAAAAAAAAAGGGGGAAATAAAAAAAAACGCTGAACAGAAGCAGAAGAGAAAATAAGGAAAAATAAAAAGAGGAAAAAAAATGTGAGAAATATCGGACGCGTGTGTGTGTGTGTGTGTGTGTGTGTGTGTGTGCGTGCGGA